TTAAGGGCAACAATTAACACAGTTCAGTTGCTCCTCAGCTGAACTTAAGGCCCAAGTCTGTTTTGGCACCAAATTTCTGAAGTACAGCAGCTGTACTGAGCAAATCCCTGCAGCAGCTGAAGTGAACAATGTGTTTTTCACATTACTGTTCAGCTAAAATGGACCTAAAGAACAGTCCAGCTCCTTCCCATCCACCATCCCATCACAGTGGGAATTTATCAGAGAAATCTCTTCCTCATGTGCATCTTTCCAACCTGTAACATGGAGAGAGAAAAACCAAGGGCAAGATGCAAACAGCAGAGAGCTTGGGAAAGGACTAGGGATGAGAGCTTGAGACATCATGGTCTGGAGGGGAGTAATCACAGATGGGTTTGAGAATTGTGGAGAGGGTGTGAACACTGGCACCTCCCCTCCAGGGGAGTCCAGGGCAGGCCTCAAAGCCCAGGGTCGGGCTGCTGTAACGCAAAAGCAGCACGGAAAGGCAGAACCCCTGAAAATAACAGCGTTTCTTGTTTTATTCTTAAAGCAAGAGACCCGCACAGTGGATAATCCCTTTTCTGTAGTTGATATCACAACTCTGTATAATATTGATTGTACCGACTGTGACCGACAACCCCAGCACCCTGGGCGGGCCGTGCCCGGCCCGGGCAGTGCCGCTCGCACCGTGCGGGCCCCGGGCCGCCCCCGCCGGCAGCTCCCGCGGTTCTGCTGTGCGGGAGCGAAAAGGAGCCGCCGCGGCGGGGACAAAAACAACTTGGCAGCGGTGGGATTCGAACCCACGCCATCGAAATGACTGGAGCCTAAATCCAGCGCCTTAGACCACTCGGCCACGCTACCGCCTGACTACCCAGGCTCCCGCCAGGCCTCTTTGACGAAGCAGGGCCGTCGTTCTCTCCCTCCATCTGTATACGTGCCCCATTCGTGTCCGCGGCACCCCCCGCCTGCAGCGCCCGCCGCACCCCGTGAACGCCGCGGCCGCCGCTGGTCCCAGCCCCGCGCTCTCCGTGCCAGCGGCCGCGGCGGCGCCGCCAGGCCCGGCCCAGCGCAGTCCCCGCCCCCGCCCGGTAGGTGGCGCCGCCGCCCCGTGCCCGGCGCCGCCTGCGCACGTGGCCCCGCGCCCGGCCGGAGGAGCGGCCGCCGGCCGGAGCTCGCAGCGGGACTCCTGCTCCTTCTCCCGGGTTCGGCCGGGCCTTGAGCTTCGGCCCCTTCCTCCCTAGGGGCTTTGGGGCCGTCAGGTTGTGCCTCGGGACATTTTGTCCGCGGCAGGCCCAGGCGGGCACCTCGGCAAGGCGCTGCCGTGCGGTCTGTGCCCCACAGCAGCCGCGGCTGTGGTGGATCAGCTCCAGCTGGTCCTAGGGAGGGCTTGGCCCGTGCCCTGGTCCCGCAGAGTAGAGGGCAGCCCTTGGCAGCCGCGGTAGCAGGTGTGCACACACTCCGGCCGGAAAGAGGGTCCGTCCTGCCCCGTATCAGCGCCCACTTCTTTCCCTGCCCGCTCAGTCGCCTCTGGCCCACCAGGGCACACGTGCTGCTGCCCAGGAGCTGCCAGCTCGCTGCGAGGCCGGTGACCTTCCCTGGCAGCTGCTCCCTTGGCACGGCACTGTGTCCTCAGCTGAACCATTCCCACCCCACACGGAGGCACCCACCGCCGTTATCTCGCTGGCAGCTGCGGTCGGGCTGCCCGCACACGCTTCGCTGTCCCGCCCGTCGCAGCTCCTTACCTCGGGACCGTGTGGGTCGGTGGCTTCCCTGTCCGCCTCAATCAGAGAGCTGCCTTTGGCAACCAGAGCCTGATTCGGTCACTGGTGAGTAGAAAGATGAATTCTCATGTTGTGAGAGGCCTGCAGGAAAAATTTGTATAATTACTTTGTGGACAGAGGTAAAAATAGCAAGACTAAATGCAATGCAATTAAAACAATATGGAGAAATTATGTCCACCATTGCCCTTCTTCCCATAGAAAGTCTTGCACTGGTGCTCCAGGAAGTTTTAGGTGTGCGTTACATGCACCTCCCATGAAACTGGAGTGAGGTTTCTGACCAGCTTGATTCACCTTGTAAAACCAGATTGTCAGAGGAGTATGAGGGTAAAAATTGTCAGGAAATTGATTGATTTAAAGGCAATTTAAAATCTGCAGATTTAAACAAATGCAGAATAAAATTGCTCTGCAAGTTAATATCATAATGGGTGTCCTTTCCTTTTTTCCTTTCAAAAACCACAGTTCTCTAGAACTATGATTTCTAAAGGAAGCCTTATTTAAAATGAGCATACTGAAACTTTACAAGCTATAGGGCTCTTGGAAAAAAATCTTGCAGTGCTGAACATACTCAATGGAAGAATAACTAGAAAATACTAGACCTGCAGGTCACCGATTCCCTATGTTGCCATTTGAAATTTAATTTTTGGTATTTTCAAACAACAAAAAAAGTGACTCAAACTCTTTAGGTCTAAAGGATAAAACACATAATGTATAAATAGAAAACTAAAACTAGAATATACAGCATGTCTGGGCCAATGCCTGATTTCAACATGTCTTTAGTTTTTCATCATCACTGATTGTTCTTTTAAGAAAATGTTACAGAGAATAGAAGAGAAGCCCCAGGCTTAAACCTGAGATTAAGTACACCCTTGTACTAGGGTAGCAGAGCTGGCTTATTTAAAAGCATGAGAAATGTGTAGTTTGACAGCGCATCACCTGTGTTCCTGAGAGAGCAGAACATTCACCATGAGGATTTATGGCAGAAGGCAGCTTTTAATTCAAAATAATGCAAAGTATTTTGTGTCCAGAGAAGGGCAACGGAGCTGGTGAAGGGTTAGAGGGTAAATCCTGTGAGGAGCAGCTGAGGGAGCTAGGGGTGTTCAGGCTCTCTGCAACTCCCTGAAAGGAGGTTGTGGCAATATGGGGACCAGTCTCTCCTCCCAAGTAACAAGACAAAAGGAAATGGCCCCAAGCTGCATTGTAGGTGTTCAGGTTGGATATCAGGAAAATTTTTTCCACTGGAAGAGTGAGTTAAGCATTGGAACAGGCTGCCCAGGGAAGTGGTGGAGTCACCATCCCTGGAAGTGTTCAAAAAACAAGTAGACGTGGCACTTTGTGATACGGTCATGTGGGTGTGGGGGGATTCAGTAAAAGGTTGGTCCTGACCTTGGAGGTCTTTTGCAACCCTAATGATTCCATGATTTGCCTGAGTTTAAAACGAGCTGCTCTCATGACTGTTCAGCTGTGCTCATGGATCACACCAGTTACAGTATTCCACCTTTATCAGTAGCCTACCATGGCAGGTGGTGATTTTTTAACCATTATCAACACAATTTCACACAGTGGGAACCACACATCTGGCTTCTCCTAGGCTTTCAGAATTCATTTGATGAGTCTGTGCTCTTCCCAGGCCCTGCCATGAAGCGTCCCAATATCAGCCCTGCTGGGTGCTGCTCTCCTCAGGGTGCTCAGGTGGGCTGACAGCAGAGTGAAAAATGAAGAAATAAATGCAGGTTCTGGTGCTCATGGGGCAAAAGTGCTCAGTTATTGATAACTGCTAATATTTACCACACTGATTTGCAGCTGGGAAATGAATAAGACCTCAAGAGTTTTTCTGCACAATCACTAACATTGCAAATGTGTTTCACTTTAAACACTGCATGAATTTGAGAAAAAATGTGCCCTTAGGAAGCAGCATTAAACAGGGGCTCAGTCAAGTGTCTGCTTGACACTTTCAAACCAGGGCTTGCAGCCTCAGCGTGCTGCTGGAAATTGGTGACAAAATTACAGGTACTGTCAAATGGCAGGTGGTGTTCCAGCATGTGTGCTGCTCCCTCCAGTCCCCATGCTGAGACACAATTTAATTTATGTAACTAATGGCGGGTTTTCCTGGCAGAGAGTCAGAGCATCTGCTCTGTGTGTTTTTAATTAAATATTGGTAATCTTCCTCCTGAAGATTATCTCAGCAGCAGTGTTTTTCTGCTCTCTTTGGAGAGCACAGGGATTGTGCATTTTTCTGTCTGTGGTGCTGCAAGAAACCATCCATCTGTCACAAAGGATGTCCTCACATCTTCCAGTCTTGGTTCTGTAACCTCTGCTCATGGTAAAAAGCACTAATGAGGATTATTTACATGAGTAAGGGATTGAACAGCAGTAAAAAAGGCAGATTCTTTGCAGGCTGCCAAGTAATACAATTAAGCCAAAACCTATTTACATTAATTTCCATGTAACTCGTGAAAGGATAAGGAGTTTTGTTTAAATTTTCCACAAATTCTAGCTTGAGGAAAAGCTTAAACATAGGCATTTTCAACCCAGAAAATAAGTGTTTTGGGACAAATTCAAATGTGGCTGCTTTGAAGAAACACGGACTTTGGAACGTGAAATCTGGCGCATAATACTGCCATTTCTTATGGGGAAATGTGCAATAGCGCGATTTAATTTAGCTCCAAAGACCAACCTGAAGCGCAGGCAGGCCCCGTGGTCGCTGCTCCCTGTGCCTTCCCTCAGGGCTGGGACCTTCGGGAGCTGCCGTGCAGGGGGTGCTTCCCATGGGAGAACCTGCCCAGGACACCCCCTCCTTTCAGCTCCGTGCCCACCACGAACAGAAATGAAAGCAAATTTGGGTGGCTCTCGTGTGAGCAGCGGCCACCCGTGAGACCCAGCTTGTGAGACCTGCACACCCGCTCTCCTTCCTGGCCCCGGGATTCCCCATCGCTAATACCTAACGGTGTTAGCTGGGGGTTCTGCTCCGATTTTTGTCGGTTTTCTCACTGGAATAAAGCACCTGGCAAGGTCCCGGCGCCGTAGCGCTGTGAGGCGGCGCGCCAGGCGCCCGCTGAGGGAGCGGGGGCGGCGCCTTGGCAGGACCGCGGGCGGTGAGGGGCGGCCCCGCTGCCCGGCTCCCGCCTCCTCCCTCCCCTCAGCGGGTCGGCTTCTCCTCCCACCGCCTGCCTTCCCTTAGCAGGGCGGCAGCTGGAACGCGGTGCGGGGGCTGTGGGAGCGCTCCGTACCGGTTGCACGGCGGATCTGGGCTCTCCTAAGCCGGTAGGTGCCGTCGCGGTGCGGGGCCCGGCCCGGCGGCGGTGAGAGCTGCCTCAGCGCCGCCCGCGGCAGGAAGCGCGGGAAGGGCGTTTTTATTGCGGAACATGACGATCGCTGGGGTGGTCAGAGCCTGCGAAAGGCGCCGGCGGGCAAGCTTCTGCACGGGCCCAAAAATAACCTGATTTGTGGCATTGGGCAGTAGTGCTGCGCTCACACCTGAAGGTTGGCATTTCGTCCATTTATGTTTCCACGACAGTGCGCATAATTTGGTGCTTAGGCTGTTGAAAAGTGCCAGGTGCTGTCTGTGACCGTGGAATAGCTGCTGTGTGCGTGGCTGAGTCCGCCCTGACAGCTTGGGACGGCTCCAGGACGGTTCGTGTTCGGAGAATTCTTCAAATACCTCAATGCGCATAAAACATGGAGTTAATTAACAACGTGCGGAACTCAGCAAATGCCTACAAAAAGTCAGCGATAGCCAATTGTGCAGAGTATTTAAAGCCAGTTGAAATGACAGTTCTATTAATGGCAATGGAAGGATATTTTAAAGTTGTCTTGGAAGTTCCTTTTGTGTCCTTTCCAAGCCCCGTGTTTTGGATGCTCTTACCGTAGTGTTTATTTGCCGTTTGGATGGATTTCACTGGGAAGGGCTGTTCTTGTGCCTCACTGCCTGCAGCTCTGAAAGCCATTGGTGTGTTTGCAGCCGTGCTGGGTTTCCTTGCACAGGGTTTTGTCTCGAATGCTTCGTATTCTGAGCTGGTGCAGTTCAACTCAGCCTTTGCTTCATGAATTTTGCATTGTTGCTCTCTTAACACTCAGGCTAATAAAATAATTATCCCAGCTGTGCTTGCAGGCAAACTGAATGGGATTTGTGCCATGGTGTTTGCAGTAATGATTTGCTGGAAGGGACCTGTGTTAAAGGCTTCTCATTAGAAATCTGTCTTTGGTAAGACAGGGTTTTCAAAGATGGACTGCAAGCTGAGATATCCCTGGGGTTTTTTTATCTTGTTTTTTTTTTTTATCACAGCTCTTACCTGGACTCACTAAACCTGTTTTCTTGCCGTGTGTGGTGCAGATGAGAATAGACCTTTACTTTGCAGGTGTCCATTGGGTGTTTGGAAAGCACATAACTCTGCAATATGCTACAGGACATTAACATAGCTAGTGGGATTGTTCTGGACAAGTTTATTTAGCTTTGGGTCTGTATCTCATAAAGGTGATAATACTTTTTATGGTGCATAGTCTGTATAGTTGCTTAGGTTAAATTTTGTATCTGGAGTTTAAAAGAATGTTAATCTGAAAGGTGATTTCTCTCTTTTAAGAAAAACCCATTTGTTACTCTTACAGGTATCCTGTTAAATGGCTTTAACTGATATGGTATTAAACCAGAAGGGATTTAGTATTATACCAGGGAGAGCTGGGTCATGGTTGCTTTAATGCTTCTCCACAAGACAAGCTGGGATTCTGTTAGAGGGCAGCTCCTGCCCCCCTGTCCTGTGCTAAGGAGTTGCAGGGGGCTGTGTCTGAGCTGAAACAGTGAATTAGAAGGAAATGGAGATGCTCCAGTTGTCCCCTCTTTTGGTGACTGTAGTGTTTGTATCACTCAGCTCTTTGGGATGAATTAAGGCAGGTTTAGATGCTGAGGCCACTGTAGAACCCTGGCCAAGAGTCTCACTAAACCCAGCAGTGCTTTGTAGCAACAGACACCCACAAGAAACAAGTCATGCTTTAACAGCCCTGTGATGTGAATTTTCCCAGCTGTTTATCTGTGTTCACATATTTGCATGTTGTCCTTGTCACTCACCTGCCCCTCCTGACCGTGTGGCTCTTGGAAGTAAAGCCAAGAGAAGCAAAACCAAAAATAAATGCAGAGTAGAGCAGATTAAGAACTGTATTTTAAATTATCTGCATTTTGAATCACGTAGTATAAGGTTGATAAAAAATTGAATCAATTTTCAAAGTGGGTTGGAGTGGGTAGTTAAAATTATAGGTTGTGTGTGATAATGCAGGCTGGCAGACCTGGTTTAGTGCAGTCTCACTCTCCTTGTTGCTTAGCCTTAGGAACACTTCTGTAATGGATATTAAAGATTAAATTATCAAAACACAACAGCAGAAGTAACAGAAATTCCTATATAGTACAACTTCTGTGCTATAATGCAAAAGCACAGAATATAACTCTTGGGATGAAGCTCAGGTTTTTTATAAGACTTTTTGTCAAGCAAACTGTGAGGTTTAGAGCAGTGTTTGTATAGTTCAAAATGTGGTTATTGAATTCTGTTTTAAAGAGCATTTTATGTGAGGATGATTATTGGTACATACACTCCCAAAGTAAACATCACAAGTACTTTACAAGAACTATGGTTCCTAGAAAAACCAAGAGACTTTCATAAACACCATTAGCTTTAAATAGAAACTGATTTTAAGTAGAAACTGTGTGGTGATATTTCATTTAGACAAGTCACAGAAATCAGAATGTTTGCAGTCCCTGCTGCACAAATCCGCATTGCTGCTGCCTCTCAAGCTGTCCTGAGCCCCATGGATGTGTGTGACAGCAGGAGCAGAAGGGAGTGCAGGACAGCCCAGGGTGTAATGGGGCTGTCCAGTGCTCTGGCATGTCCTGGATTAGTCACGTCCTTGAGGCATCGTGTGACAGCTGCTGGCTGTGTGTGACAGGCTCTCGGGGTTCTCCAGCACTCGGTGCACACTGGTGAGACAATCGCAGTGAAAACGGCAGAGGCAGCTGAGGACACCTTCCCCCGCCAGGTGTGAGTGCAGTGACACCTTCCCCCTCCAGGTGTGTGTGCAGTGACACCTTCCCCCACCAGGTGTTTGTGCAGTGCTTCCCCTGCCAGGTGTGTGTGAATGCAGTGACACCTTCCCCTCTGCCAGGTGTGTGTACAGTGACACCTGCCAGGTGTATGTGCAGTGCTTCCCCTGCCAGGTGTGTGTGCAGTGACACCTTCCCCCTCCATGTGTGTGTGCAGTGACACCTGCCAGGTGTATGTGCAGTGCTTCCCCTGCCAGGTGTGTGTGCAGTGACACCTTTTCTCACCAGTGTGATGTGCAGTGACACCTTCCAGGTATATGTACAATGACACCTTCCCCTGCCAGGTACATGCTCCTGCCCCTTCCCATACTTGGCAGCTCCCCGTGGTCTCTGCTGGAGGAGCAGGTGAGCCCTCCAGAGCTGCTCCAGTGCAGTGAGCTGAGCTGAGCTGGCTGGCACCTCCTGCAGCAGTGGTGTTCCAGAGCAGTTGCTGCCTGGTGAAGTGCTGGAGTTGCTGCCTGAAATGTGGGAACGCTGCCCCCATCAGAAGAGCAACCAGCAAATTAATGCTGCTGGTGGAAGCTGCCTCTTGTTAAGGCACTGTTTCTGTGGTGACCACTTTCTCAGTAACTGGGGAGTGAGGTCAGCAGCTATGAATGCTTCTGTAGGAGTCTATTCATCTTCGGTTTCATGCAGAAAGAAAACTGAAAATGCAAAGGGCTGAGGAATAACTGTAAAGCAAAACTGAAAACCTTGGTGTGTGGTTGTTTTATTAAACTAGCTGTATGAAAATCCCTAATTTTGCTGGGTGGGTGAAGAACTAAACAATGTGACACTTAGAAGTGTCTGTTTTAAATTAAATCCTGTTGCTCAGCAAGCATCAGGGCCAAATTTTGAGTATTCTGACTAATCCTCTATTTTGAACATTCCAGTATTTCCAGAGTATCTGTGTAAACTTCCACCTCTTCCAAGGGCTTTATTCATTCCTCCACCTCATTTTTCTGCAGTGTGCTACATTTTCAGCAACCTGTGGGCCATTGGCTGTATGTAAGCTAACAGACAGCTTAAGTCTTGTGGATGGTGGAAATTTTTTCTGTGTTGTTCTTTACTGTCTAATTCATTTGACTGATAATTTGTGCAAATATCCTTGAGAAGACTTGTCCTGAAAAGATTTGAAAATTTGACTGTGGTGATTGAGGTAAAACTCTCTCGAGTTTCTAAAACTAGTCTTGTGAAGCTCAGCATTTCATGTAAGGAAGAATAAAGACATTTGGAGGAGGAGATAACCAAGGATACCAGGTTCCTTCTTAGGATCTTCTTTGTCCTGTAGCAGTTTAAAACCAGAATGTTACTTCTCAGCAGCTCTAGCTGAGGTGTCAAAACTACATGTAGGTACTTGAGGATTACTTTTACAGAGCCAGATGCAAATATATTTCTTTTCTGCCAGTGTGCTGACATCAGTGTCATGCATTATTTGTTCTTTTAATAACAACCTTCTCCTTTTCTCCTCTCACCCAGCTTCTTCCCTGTTTGCATGTGCATTGGAGTGGTGTGTGTTCCAGTCCTGGCAGGAGTTGAACCAACCTCCTGCAGACATGGCAGAGGAGGACCTGATTTTTCGTATGGAAGGCATTGACAATGCCAGACCAACTGCAGTGGACTCTGGGAATTATCTTGGTGCTGATAGTGATGATGAAGACAATTATTTTATCTGTCCAATAACTGATGATCCAGTTTCTAACAAGTCTGCCAATACCAAAGTAGACAATTATTACAGCAGCTTAGCAAAAACTGAGCAGTACAGCTCAAGCTCTTCTCCCAGAAGCTTTAGCTTTAAGGTGAGTATTGGTTCCAGCCTTCATTAATGTTTTGTTTACTTACTTGGCATGAGAAATTTTCTAACTGCCTCATCTCTTATAACTAACACTTTTCAACCTGCAGTTAATTCCATTAAGCCAATAGTCTGACACTGCCATGGAATTGCTCACTGTCCCTTTCAGTTCAGTGGGGGATCTTCCTCCACTCAGTCCAGGAGAAAATTCACTGCCATTAGGATCAAACCATTTGCAATGCAGTATGTTGGTTGGGAGATTCAAAAGATAATACAAGATGTATTACAAGATGTACACAAGATGGTGTAAGAAAAATTGGGGCCTGTCAGAAGATAGTTTATTATGAGTTTTGCTAGTCTGTGATATTTTTAGTTGGACAAATAAAATTGTAAATTATAAAATTGTAATGGTAAGTTTTTATGTTATAGCTCCTTCTTAGGGAGCTTTTGACATGTTGACACTTTCATGCTTGGGCCTGAGGCATCACCCTGGCAGTAGCTCCTGACAGTGTGCACAAGCAGTGTCTGACCATTTTGGGATGAACAGCAGCTGCAGCATTGCAGGGAGGTCAGAGGGGCTGTACTGGTGCTTCCTTGGCAGTGTGTCCTTTTTCACTCTGCTCCCTTCACACAGATCAGGCCAGGCAATGGAGCCTCAAGTGACATCCACTCTGTAACCTGCATAACCTAAATAAACACAGTTTGTGTTTTGTTATTTGTGTTTACATGCTAAACTGACACGTCTCTTAGATTTTCCTATATTTAATGTGTTTTATTAACACATTTCTTATTATAGATATTAACATTTATTTCATAGATACTCTAAAATCTTGGTTATGCCTAATGCATGCTTTAATTGTGCAAAAATACTGGGGATTATTTCAGTCAGATAACATAGTGAGTAACACATTGAAAGTGAAGCTGGCTTGTCTGCAGGAACATTTTTGCCAAAGCTGGTTAATAGAAACATTAAAAGGTACATATGTCTAAGATGAGGAGCAAAAGCTTAGTATAGAAATGGAACAGATGTTGGTGTATGCTAAACTAAGCAAGTTAAGACTTGGTAGGGAGCTTAGTCTTCATTTGTGTGTACATTTTAACATGTACTCAACACTTGCCTCTGGGTCTGCAGTCCAATTTCTGACTCATGCAGTCTGAGATAAAACTGATAAGGATTTCAGAAGTTGCAATTATTTCCTCCTTCCTCAGCTGTCATTTTGCTTCTGCAGAATGTTTGTAGCCATGTTTTGGTCTCTACAATGTCTAGTTTGGAACTGTAGCTCCTATCACAGATAAATTACTTTGTGTTGAGAGCAAGGCAGTGTCCATGTCCTGTTTAAGCTGCAGGGCTGGTGATTTCCAGCACAGTGAAGCAGACAGGCAGGGCTGATGGCATCCTGAACCACAGCCTGGCCTAGCAGAGTCTGTCTGTCAGACCTCAAAGCTAAAGCAAGGCAGTGTGGGCCACTGATAATGAAAGGCAGAGCCAGATAGAGAGTTAACTCAATGTTTTAAACTCCATTTTTTAAATTAACTCTCTGCTTTAACAGGACTCAGCAATGTTTCATTAGCTAGTTAATAGGCAATACTTTCCAATTAAAAAAATTACCAACTTACCTCAATAGGTTTCTTCACAGGTGTTCTAAGAAGGAACTTCAATTGGGAATATAAATGTAAGAGTGGCATTTAACTGGAATTTTTTGGGGTTTTTTTACTAACAAAGAGAACCAAGACTCTTTGTCAATCATTTGTCTTATCACATGTATTTTCCTGCTTTCATGTCTCTCATGGATCCTTTAGAATGACACACAACATCGTTCTAAGCATGGCTCTGTGGTTGACCATGGTCGGGTAGGTTCAAAAGAAAATGTCAACACCATATCTAATAGATGCACTTTGATTTTTTTTGTTTGGTTTTGCTGGTTTTTTTAATTTCCTTTTATGGATTTTTTTTTGTTCATTATTTTATTGTTTGGGAGGACTGATTGCCTCAGCCCATAAGAGTCATCAAGTCAAAACTAGAAGAAATACCTGTTAAATGGAATGAAACCCATCCTGTGTTCTCTACCCTGAAATTTCACTGTGTGCAGCCATATGCCTGCAGCAGGAGAAAAACTGCACTGTTAGCACCATTTCCATGAAATCCAACTGGTGTTTGTTTGAAGATTAGGATATTAGATGAGGTGTTTTGTACAAAACACCTCAAGAGATCAAGCACAAGTAATTAACTTATTTAAATTATCACCTAACATGAACACAAATCACCTTTTGGAGAGGGAATCTGCCCAAGAACATTTTGATACAGCTGATCAACCAAGCAGTTCTTGTTGCTGTCTCTCCTTATTTCTCTCATTGGTATTTAAGTATGCAAATTCTCAGGTCCATATGAGCTGTCATTGCATGACCTGAGGCAACTTCATTTTCTTATGAAACATGTAGAAAATCTTTCTCAACAAGTCCTTTAAAGTAATTTTCTTTAATGTAGTATTGTTTTCATTTTGTGTTATTGTCAGAAAGGGGTGTGTTTAAATTTTTGCAAGGTATGCATGGTTAAAGCTGAAATTCAAAATAAACATGAACATTTAAAGCTTAGCTGCTTTGAAAACTTCCTTGATGCCATTGCTGACACAAATTTTAAGTGTGTTTTTTGTTAAAAAAAGGACTGATTTTAATTTCTGAAGATAAAAAAATAATCACAACATTTAAAAGTTACTGTTTCTGCACACTTGGAGTTCAGTTACAGAGGCAGTAATAATATCTCAGAGCTCCATACTACTTTATTGGCAGGGTGCAGAGTGCTTTTTCTCCTGCTCACTTTGCAGAAGGTATTTGGCACATCACAGGATCATATCTCCAGTCTTCTTGGAAGTATACAATATAAGAGAGGGAGAACAAAATGTTAAGAATCAAGCATCCAAATTGGCTGGTAGAGAGAGACTGTACTCCAGAAAACTCTTTGATATTTTCCTCTTGACTTGGTGAACATTGAAATAGCTACTTGTCTGGAATTGTTATAATCAATTTTTACAACATTCTAATTTCTTATTTCTCATACTGAGCACAGTCTGGGACCCTGGTGTTCACATAACTTCTTACTTTATCCATACTGATTTTATCTTCAATGGACTTTTTTGTACTTACTCTTATGCATGCAAAACCAGCACATGCTGCTACATATGAAAAGCTAAAAATCAAAACAGAAAAAGTGAATTAATATCATCTGGGTGTGCCTTGCTGCCATTTGCAGAGCATGTTAGAGATCTCTGCAAATTACCACAGGTTTTGTAAATTGTATCTGGTATATACAGTGCCAGTTCTGTTCTCAGTAACTTTACAGGGGTGCAAATTGAACTGAAATTGAAATGTATGCTTTATGTATCTAAGCTGGGTTTCATTAGAATTGAAATTATTAAAATGTCAGAGTTGTCGTTGGTACTACTTGGTACCTGCTCTGAGCAGTGCTTTGGGGGCTTGTGTGGTTGCACATCTCCATAGCATTGAGATCCTGATGTGCTCTAGAAAGTGCAGGTTTTGTGAGTTACTGCTGATTATAAATAAAGTGCCAATCTGTACCTTCTTCAGGAAACCTGGAAACATGCTATTGAGAAAGCCAAGCACATGCCTGATCCCTGGGCAGAATTTCATCTGGAGGACGTTGAGACGGAGCATGCCACTCGTTACAGGTCTGTGGGTCTCCTGCTTTGGGTGCTGATGTTCAGCAGGCCTGGTTTGTGCAAGGGCTGAGTTTGTGTAGGGCAGAGTATGTGGCTCAAGAGCTTTCATGATGCCCAATGTGAGTGGGTCTTAACTCAGTCTCCCAGGAATACATAAATACTGCACATTATCAAAAATAAACCTTTCAGCAAACCATTGTCACACTTTCTCTTCCATTTAAGGAGTATCTAGGACTTCCACTGTGTAGACAGGAAACAAGGCTGAAAAGTATTTTCTGGTTGATTTGTTAATGCCATAAATGTAATCTAATAAGGAAATTAGTCCCAACTAAAAGAAAGCTTTCTTTCCCAAACTATTTAAACTAAGTATGCAAAATAACCCCCCACAACTTTCCCAAAATAGCAGTTTCAATTTTGCTACTCCGTGCAGTATTGTTGCACATAGCTGGAATTTAAATCCTTATAAAGCCCAGAATAGCTCAGTGTGGTCTACGTGCTAAAAGGGAGTTTGGCCCTGGAAGTGGTTTCAGTGCTTTAACATCAGCTTTGCCAAAATATTTACTCTACTGACACAGGTTTCTGGGAGGAAGGGTTAGGGGTTAGAGGCCACTTAATCACCACTTAGCATCAGAGTTTTGGGAGCCTCCCCTTCCAACCCCATACCAGTCATGCAGTGCTGCTCTTCCCCATAGACTGCATCTGTCCTTGGTCAGCCACACAGTCCTGAAATAGTTTGCATATTTTAAAATACAAATAAGTGATAATTTAGTTTAGGGCTACTCAATATCCTGTTAAAAAGAGATGTCTCTGATCCTCTTGTTTTTACCTCTTTCTTTGCTGCAAACTGGGGTATGTATGCAAATAATGTATAAGTGAGAATATGGGGTGTCTGCATGCATGAATTCCTCTGTGCAGGTCGGGGGAACCAGGCTGGAAACAATCATGTGTTGATGACTCAGCTGCTGTGGTTCCCAGTTTGGCTTTCTCTGTGTTGGGAGCTCAGGGGGTGGGGAGAAGCCACAGTTGTACTCTTTGTATTGTCACAGGGTTGTGCAGGGACTCGCTCCTCCCTCAGCGCAGTGTTGGGCAGTTCCTGCCCCCACTGTGTCTCACAGCTGGTGCTGCTCACATTCTGCACAGCCCCAAGGCAAATATCCAGCTAGAACCAGGCTTATGCAAGCTCAGGGTTGGGACAGACAACCTGTCCAGTGTGTAGAGCTTGGTGAGGCCCTTTCTGCCCCCAGTGTGCTGCCCAGGCATCACAGAGGGGGTTTAACTTCAAAGCAGACACAGCCTGATCTGTAGTGTTACAGAAGTTCTGCTTTAGACTGCTCATTTACAGGAGTGTTCAGTGTCTCTTCAAAGAGCTAAATGTGTTTCTCCTTGCCTGCCCAAAATGAAGAGGGCCAGAGTGTAGTTGAGAGACTGGAAGCTTTTGTGTAGGAGTGGCAGCAGCACTTTCCAGAGTCAGTTACAGATAAGGAAGTATTGGTGCTGGAAATGAGAGGATTTGGGTTCCCTTTGCATTCTTCTGAGATATCTCCTGATTTTGCAGGTACAATGCTGTTACTGGGGACTGGGTTGAAGATGAAGTCCTTATCAAGATGGCTTCTCAAGTAAGATCACACTGTCCTTCATGTTTACTAACAGCAAGTTTGTCATTTCCTTTCTGTTCCTTAGTAGTGGCAGCAATATGTTTTCCTTATAGAAATTTTGAAGTCTCAGTGTAATTCTTTTCACCAACCTTTTTTTCTTTGTATCCTTCTCTCCAGAATAGAGTAGAAAATGGAGTCAGACCTTCCCTGTCAGCAACATGAGGCATTTGTTCCATTTCCAGTGATTTCCCTTCCATGTCACCCCTCCCATTTCCTTCTGGCATAATTTCCCTGCCTGGCAGTAGTCCTATTATTTTGTGTGTTCCCAAATAATTTCTGTTAGAATGAAAACCAACTGAATTTTCTGTATGTGAGGGTAGCAGGCACTGTCCTTTCCCAGTTAAGTCCTGGGGTGGGTTGTGTGTTGGGGTTGCCTTGCTCTGTGCAAGTATCTGGCATCTGGGGAGATGATGCTCTCTTTGGCACATCCTCTATGGAAGCCTAAATGCAGAGAGCATGAAATCTGTGAAGCTTCTCTAGGCAGTCACACAGAGCTGAATCCCAGCTGGGGAGAGAATTTAAATAGTTTATTTACAAGACATAGCATTTATTCTCCATGGGATATTAGTAGGGGGAGTTTATCCAAATGCCTTTTCCCCAGATACCTGCTTACCCTACCAATGGTTTTCACTTTTCCTTGAGGAAATATTTCTATAGAGCCTGTTTGAAAACTGCTTTCTGCATGGTATAAAGGGGAAGTCATGGTTGTGTCTCTTACTGGGTAGAAATGAACTTTGTGGAAATGGCAATGCTGAGTTTTTGTTCTTTTCTTTTCCCCAGCCTTTCGGCCGTGGAGCAATGCGAGAGTGTTTCAGAACGTGAGTATCTGCCCACTTCATCTTTGTTGGCCTCCTTGCAGTATTTTTTTCTGTGGTGACTAAAATTTCACTCAGATGTAGTGGAAATTGTGTAAAGCTCTAGTCCTTTCTAAAAGGCTTTGCTGAGGGGTTTATCCCAGTTTGTGTGACTCCACCTGCAGGGAATGGGGGTTCAGAGAGGAGAATGTTCTCTGAATGTTGTACTTCAACCATCCCTGGGAGGCAAAATATTCATGAAAGCATAGTAATAGCCACTTAATTTCTGTGTTCCTTGTGTACTAAAATATCGTAAAATTTGATATGAGGTCATGTGCAGCCTGGAGACCAACTTGAGGCCTATAGTTAGGCACAGAAAAGAGAAAGAATGAATGTCTGGTTGGTGCAGTCTCAACTGGAAAAGCCTCCGTTGGTAAAGAAGGTTATCCTCCTAGAGCTTGCTTTGCATCACATATACCAGTATCCTGTTCTGAGTTAGGCAGAACTTGAACACTAACAGTTGTGCTTCCCAGAAAGATAAAGTGTGGGGGAAGACTGAGGAGGAACTTTTCCTTCCTTGGAGAGTGTTATCAAATGTTATTGTGGGGATCAGCATCCAGCTATAAATTATAAATTGGTGTGTGCTAAGAGATTACCCCACCCCTTCCAAGCTCTGGAAAGAAATGTTTCCTGGAAAATGTCAGGGAGTGTGTGTTAAAAAACATTCCCCCTTCTTCCCACTTGTGGAATCCAGAGAAACTGCACTTCATGTGTGGTTTCAGCTCTAGAAAGATAGAAACTCCTGAAAGAAGGAAATGCAATGTTTTGAACTTGAGCAAAAAGGAAGAAAAGTAACCCCACACTGCTCCAGTTTGGCTTTGGCATTTCAGTATCAGTTCATGCTGGTGGCTCTGTTCCTGCAAAGCCAGCTGGATACAGTGGTGAATGAAGCCTAGGAAATAACAAATCTCAGCCTGCTGACATTGCTTTCAGTTCTTGTTATTAACCAAACTCCCCATTACACAATATTTTGAGTAATGCCATAAAAAGAAATTTGTTAGCAGTTTTGCCTTAACCTCTGGTACTAAAAAAGCATAACTTGAATGTCAGCTTCCTACTGCTGGGTTTCCCATGTGTGTCAGTGGTACAGGGATATTTCCCATCTGGAGCTCTCTCCTAGATTTTTGTAACTCTGCAAGTTTTTAGTTAAGACAGCTGCCCGTGGCCCAATGAACCACTGTGAGGATATTGACTTTAGAAAAACATGAGCTGGCTTGTTTTGTGGAGAGGAGTGAGTTCCTTGAAGAACTGGGAAGATTTGGGGTCTGGCTGAAGTGCTTACCTCATTTCCTTGTTTATTCTTTCCAAGGCCTCTGTTGCTGTGACTGGGTGCCCATCCCTGCAGGAGGACAGGCAGCATGAATTTGCTTTGCCTGTAGAGTGTCCCCTGTACCAGGACCTCTGCACAAGTTCTTGGCAGGGAGAGGAAGAAGAACAAGGGGGAAGGGTTGAGTGTTTGGGTGCTGCTACTAATTAAAGCACCTGCCTAATGCATTTGTTGGCAGCCAGCAGATCCTTTCTTATCAAAGTTTTCCTGTGCTACACACTGCCACACCCCCTGCCTCAGCCCCCCTGCTTTGGAGGGATCTGTGGATTAAAGATTTGCACATCAACATAAGGGAAAAGCTGCATCATGACAACTGTCAGGTGCAGTTTTCCTTCTGGGAGTGTGTGGGTTACTGAGCAGTCAGTGCTGTGTGTTAAGAAACAGCAGATTCTTTTTATCCCAGGAGAGGTTTCTCAGTTCGTGTTTGAAAGGCCACTCCCTGTTAATTTCTGCAGAAAATAATTGTTGACATTAGAACAGGTTATTGACAAGGCACCAACCCTTCATACTCCAGGTTTGAGAAGAACAGGAAGGGAAAGGGATTGAAAAAAGGAGAAAGTTCACAGCACAAGTAGCTGCAGCTAAACCAAACAGTTTGGCATGTCCCAGCCATTCCCATGGGATATTTCATTTTCCCTTGTCCCTTTCCCGTGCTTCACATGTCAGGTGAAATACCTGGTAAATGAGTGAGGGTAATGCTCATCTTGGAGCCTGGCTCTGTCCATGCAGGCAAGGAAATGGGAAAAATTGAATTAAAATCCTTGGGGTTCCTTTCACCAACAATTGATTTATCTTTCAGAAAAAAGCTGTCCAACTTCTTACACACTCAGAACTGGAAAGGTGCCTATAATTATGTTGCCAAGCAATACATAGAGAGTGTGAGCAGGGATGTTTATTTTGAGGATGTTCGACTGCAGATGGAAGCAAAACTCTGGGGAGAAGAGTACAACCGGCACAAGCCACCGAAACAGGTGCATTCAAAGATCTTGCTAAGCAAAAATGCAGTATTGTTCTTCTGTTGGGTTAGTTTTCAGACATAATTTAGAGGGAATTATTTGTTCACATTCCATCACATTTAAATGCTTGGATAGATTCTTTTTCCCTTCTATGTTTTCTGTTAAATGATAGCTGATTTTGAGTGGAGTAAATACAGAAATTGCTTTATATTTCCAAGACTAGGGGCTGTGTGTTTGTGAATGTCTGACTGTCCTTAGCTCTTGACTGAAATCCAAAATAAAATTTTCTTTGTATTGCTCTCTTTGATGTGTGCCCAGCTGCTTTTGTGATAACCAGAGATGTCACAGAATTTTTTGCCAGCAGCAGTCTCAGCAAGCACTTAACTGTTAGTGCTCCAGGAGGGTAGATGCTTAAATCTTCTACACCCACCCAAACATGTAACTAGCAGTGATTTTTGAAAGGAGCTGGAAACATGCTGGAAGCCTTAACAATTTTAATGGCCAGAATTAGTGATTTTGATATGGGGGATATTGGCATTACCTCCCCTGTGAGGAGCTATTACTACTATGCTGTTACTACCTGGCTCCTAACGGCAAGGTGAGGTCTACAGTGAAGCACACAGAGAGAAATCCACAAATCTAGAAGTTTTAAATGCCATGTTGGAGAAAATATATAATGGAGAGTTGTGATGGTTTCTGCTTGAGGAATGTGTGGGGCACAGAGGGAGAAGGTGAGGCAGGATACAGAGATAGCTGAACAGCAGATACCCTCAGCCCTTCTCTGAAAATGCATTTCTTTGAGTTGTGCAGTAGTGATTTGTATGTTTTATTCTCTGGGTGCAGACTCTTTGCAGAGTACTCTTAAGGTACCCACAAGATAAAATACAAAGTCAGCACTTGCTAAGAATTTTTTCAGAGGGTTTGTTGCAGAAGTGAGCTGTTTTGAAGTGACTGCTTTTAATTTATGGAATTCCTCCAATAACTCGAGAAGCACATGACTCTTATCTCACCTCCTTTCTAAACAGAAGGATCTTTGCAATTGTTCAGATTCTTGCATTGGGAAAGTTTTCACAGCTGGAGGATTCACACACACTTTGATCTGAGGACAGAATGCTGTTAGTCATTGTTTATCTTCTTTCCCTCCCCAGGTGGATATAGTGCAGACCTGTATTATAGAAATGAAGAACAGGCCTGGAAAGCCTCTCTTTCATCTGGAACATTACATTGAGGGCAAATACATCAAATACAACTCAAATTCTGGATTTGTGCGAGATGACAACATTCGTCTAACTCCACAAGTGAGGCTTTGTTTAATGCTTTCCATGGAGTCTGCTGCAGAGAATTTCTGAGCTCTCTCCAGAGGTCTTGCATTACTGCCAAGAAAGGAAACTGCAGCCTCTGCAGTACAATGCCAGATTAATTTCTCTATTTGCAGTTTGTCTGCCCCTTACTTGGGGCCTGCTCTTTCAGGTTCTGAGTGTTTCTTCATTGGATTTCAGTTGATTACAGTTGAGTTGAACAGGGTTAATATTTGGAAACCTTAAGCCCTTTAACTCTGATTATAACTGCAGGCATCAGAATGTTTCAAACTTTCTTCAAATTGAGGCAGTGAAGAGATCTCTCATGTACTATGTACTTTGTAGTCTTTTGGTTCCTCACGTAATACCCAAGAGGTGGCTGGTATCCAACTCATGTAAATAAATCTAGTCCATTTGCAAATACAAATGTCAGTTTTTCTAGCTGCAGCCTCTGAATAGCTGAATCTGAGATTGCATATAGCAATACAAGGACAGATTTCAAGTGATTCTTGAATCTTGTAAAATAAATTTTAAATATTATTGAAAAATGTAAAGTGGTCAGCATAAAAAAGAGGTATTTTACTCTTGGGCCTTGGAAATTTTGTTCTTTACATTTTTTCTCACTATTTTTAAGGTATTTTTCATGAGGCTTAATGTAAGCAGAGAATTTGTGTTCTGGGCTGTCATTTGTGCACTGAATCAGGGCTGTGCTTTCACAGGTTGGGAACAAAATGTTCCCTGGTATTTGCTGCAGTTAAAATGTTTGTCTGTCACCACCAGTCACCTCCTCCAGACCTGGCAACACTTTTTTGGAGGCCTTCCCAGAAGATTCCTAATATCTCAGCTTTATTCTAAAGAGAAGGGCTTTTTGTAGCTGATTCTTGAAATGTGTTTTTTCAAGAGCACAAATGTACATTTTGTTATCTGATAAATGTAGACACAGAGCAGTTGCTCAGGGGGATCACTCAAAGGGGAAGAAGAATTTGTTGGGATACTCACATTTATTTATGGGCTCTTTCTCCAAACTGTGGCAGAGCTAATGCTTGTTGGCAGAAGGAAGCAGTGTCCCAGAGGTGCAGAGCTTGCACATTCACAGGCACAGCCAGGATGTTTATACAGAAGTTATTCTGTATTGGCTTCAGAGCCCACTGTTTCTCTCTGCCAGCCAGCTCCCCACTACCTAAGGTGAAGACTATAGTGGAAAACAATCTCTAGTACAAAAATGAGGAATTAAGGAATCTCCTTTCCCCTGCCCACTGCTGCTTTTCCCTTTGCCTTTTTTATCCTCTCTGCGAGTTGGAGCAGGTTGGAGAGACAGGATACTACATGCTTTTGGTCTCTTGCTGCTTTCATTGTGATATTTATACCAGTTATATTTCACTGATAGGGTTATCACACTTCTTTTCCCATTTATCAGAGTGTTGTAATGTGTGTTGCTGTTTCCAGTAGATGAAGGGAGAGTGTTCTCAGACATCTCCTTTGGTTCTTTCCAGGCCTTCAGTCACTTCACCTTTGAGCGCTCAGGACACCAGCTCATTGTTGTTGATATCCAGGGAGTTGGAGATCTTTACACAGACCCTCAGATCCATACAGAGAGTGGTACAGATTTTGGAGATGGCAACCTAGGTAAAAATCAATTACTCTGTTTCACTAAGGGGTGCTTCTCTTTTCTTCCCAGCTCTGCTGAGTAGCCACTGCACTGGGTGAGCTGACACATTTCTGAGGGTGTCAGCTGGGGAAGTCCTGTTGTAAGGAGTCCTGTACAGGTCAGCTGTCATATAAGGGCAGTTTTAAAATGAGAGCTGATCTTGGCTCTTGTCTCCTGGCCTGCTCCTAAACAAGTAATGTAATTAAGTAGTTTTTACATTGTGAGAACAGTAATCACGGCCTTTGATTTCCTTGCCACATTGCAGGAGTGGATACAGCTGAATGCAGAGATAGGCACTGTGTAGCTTTGGAGTTCCAAGTGTCTATATATGAAGTTTGTAGGACACTACGAGTTTTTTAAGCAGGATTAAATTTAGGCACACTTCTCAGTGATGGATTAGGTTTTTGTTATATCTTGTTCATACATAGCTTTCCAAGATTTTTCTCAGTACTTTCACTCTCTCATGCAGAGAGAGTGAAAAGTTCTTACAAGTGTTGATATGGAAGTGGGTTAGGCTGTGTGCTACAAAGCATTTTCTCTCTCTTGGCATTTTAGGAAAAGCTTTGGGACTTTCAGCTTCTAATAAGTAAATTGTAATATAAAATTCGAGTCAATCCTTTCTTTACTTTTTTTAATGCCTTAGGTGTTCGAGGTATGGCCTTGTTCTTTCATTCTCATTTCTGCAACAACATCTGCAAAAGCATGGGGCTTGCACCATTTGATCTTTCATCCAAAGAGAAAGATGCCTTGGATTATAACAAAAAATTGCTTGTAAGTGTTTGATGAAAAAGTTTAATTAATAGGGAACTTTGAAATCAGTGTATATTTGGGACCAAGTAGATCTTAGAATGCTGAAATAATTTGTTTTGGATCTCACAAACCTGATTTGATGCTTGTTGCAAACTGATCTCAGTTTCAGTGGATTTTGATGGCAGTGGGACTTGATGTAACACTTGGAATGAAACTCAGTCCTAAATAAGTAAAAATGTCAGGGTTTGATATTTTGCTGCAGCGTAGAACTTTTCAAAGCAAATACTTCTGGATACCTGTGTATATTTATAGAGGACTGCTAATAAACATTCACACTGACCTGTATAGCATGCTTAGAGTTCACAGAAGGGTTATTGACAGGACTTTGTCGTTGATTTCCCAAGGAATCTGCTCAGACAATTCTCCGTGGCACAGAGGAGAGGTGCGGCAGCAGCCGGCTGCGGACGGTGTCCGGGAGCCGCCCCCCGCTGCTCTTCCGCCTGTCGGAAACCTCCGGGGATGAGAGCCTGAGTGATGTGGCGTTTGACTCCCTGCCCTGCTCGCCCTCCTCTGCAACCCCTCACAGCCACAAGGTGGACGTGCTTAGTGAGTGAGCCTCTCATACATCACCTCTGGGAGGGTTCCTGAACATTGGACTTGTCTTACCTTGGTTTTGTCTTCATTTTTAAGCACAACAGCATTGATTTAGTCCAGAACAGTTTCTAGTACTCCTCTTTGAGCAGAAGTAAAACTGAACATACTGCTATATAGAAAATTAATGCACAGATGCTTCTGTGAAAAAAACCAGCAATAAAATTAGGATACCTAGAGATTTTTCCTCAAGCCTGTTATCCTTATAATAACAAGTATTTTTTTTTCTCCTAGATTGGCCTGTGTTCAGTGAAGTAGATAATTTGGATCAGCTTGACAACAAAAGGGTGAGTGTCTTTCCAACAGAAAATGAGGCTGCAGTTGCCTAATAAAATGTCTCTTTATAGAACTTCCTGAAGGTTTTGTTCAGTAAAAGCACATAAAGGTACTCTGCCTATTTCTCGTTGCAGATCATGTTACCTCTGTGCATTTGCTGTTTCTAGTACAGGAAGAACATTTTATCTTCATATTTTAGTATTCATTATTTTGCCACCAGGAATTCATTTGCATCTGGTGCATTTTAATGGATACTTAAAGCATGTGCCTGTCCCCCTGCCTGCATATTGTGTCTTGGGTGCTTGGCCCAGCTGCTGTGATATTAAAGCTAAAGAATCCCTATGGATTAGGTCTGTGCAAATATTGGTACCATGGAATGTTAGAGAACCTTGCCTGAGGAGGTGCAGGAAGTTTGCAATGGGCATTTTCCAGTGCTGGGCCTTGATGCCAGGGGCTGTCACTTACTGGTTTATCACTGAAGCTGAAAACTATATTTAGTGGATTCTTGATTTGATAAAATATGAAAGTCCTTGATTTGTTTTAATGTATGTAAGGGAGAAGACAGTCTTAGACTACTTTATGTATCATTAAGTCCTGCTCCTTCTAACAGAGGTAGGAGGAGTATTTTCATCCAGTCTAAACATCCAGTATTTTTCATTTAAAGAGCAAATCATTTACCCTGTGAGAAATGTCAAGCTGAGGTCCTTAGAAAGTACAATCCTGATGCTGTTCTGTTCTTGACTTCTGTAGGATTTTGAAAATGGTGGAGACAGTGGGTATCCCAGTGAAAAGAGAAGTGAGACAGAAGATCTGGATCATAGAGAGAGGGTAAGAACCTGACTGGTATAGCAGAGTTGGTATAGCCTATTCTTACTTAAACTGCTTTTGTAGAAGAATCTTCTTTTTTATCCTTCCTGATCTAGATCTGATCCTGATCTAGACTCTGAAAACAGAGGAAACAAAGAAATTCCCCCACGTTGCAAAATTACTTATTCATATTGGGAATGACACTCTCACAGGAAAAAGATTATTTGTAATGAGTAGCTTAATTTCAAATATTGTGTTTGATTAGATGTTGTTGTGTGGATTTTTTAAGTATTAAATCTTGCATTTAGGATGTGTGGCCATCTTCTTGCCATGTGGAATACATGAATATGATCTGCTTTCAGACTCATTTCCTTCTCTACTTTGTATGGATTGAAATATTACAGATCTTAATGTTGTTGTCAGGTAATAATGTGGAGCTTTAGAATTCCTAGGGGTTAATTGCTTACTCCTCTAAAATTTTTAAATAAATGGTTTTTGACCTGGAGATCTTAAGATATTTAATTAGAAGACAGGAAAGAGAATACTGCTTCCAGAGATACCACTCCTTTTGTCACCTCCTTTGGCAAGGTGTTTGTCATGGCATCTCCTGCTTATGGGATTAAAGCCATGTGTGCCAAGTTCTTTATCATTTTGGTATTTCTTAATATATTGTGATATCACTGATAGAAATGGATCCAGTGGAAACAGTTTTGGTCTTTATTAATTCACTCTCACTATTAATTCTGGAAGGTAGGAATAGTCTAGAGGCATGTCTGGCACACATCAGTTGCTGCAAATTGAATGATGCAAATCTTTACATCAACGTAGGGCCATTCAAACAACAACCGGAGGCAGGAGTCTGATGAAGACAGTTTGGGAAGCTCTGCAAGGGTAAATAATAAAGCAGAAATGTTCACAGACTGAGTTTGCTGCTCTGCTTGTCCTTTGTTCCACTTACCTGCCACCTAACCACATCACTGAACCAGATGTTGGTTCCCCTTCCTTTTCAGCTACAGAAATTTATTAATATCAACTTACCACTCTGTTACTTCCTTTTATGTTTTGTCTTTGTTTTCTTGTGAAAGAGGTACTGTGAAACAAATTGTCACCTCTGTCATAAAGTAGTGATTATGTGTGGGTTTCTCACTTTCAAAAAAAAAATGACAGCTCTGTGAATTTATTTTCTACCTAGCTAAATTATATTTCCTTTCTGCACTTTAGTTTTGGAATTTTATCCTGTATGTTATTCTGTAGTTGTTCTGTAGTTGAAATCATATCCTGTATGATTTCTTAAAAACATGCAGTGTTTGAAACAGATACACAGTGAAGAGAGCTGCTGTCACCTAACTGAGTTAGGAAAGACCAGAGCTTGTATGCTTTTAGAGAATACCACTTCTGTGATAATTGGTCCTGGGTATAAGCTTAAACAAATAACTACTGTGAAAGGAAATTAAAAGCAGAGCTTTGACAACAATAATTTATTTAGATACAATTTTCAGAATTTCCTTTTTATTATTATGTATTCCGTTTTCAGAAAACTGAAACAGCTTTAATAGACTGAAGTTCTGTGCCAGCAGCCCTTCCTGTTGTGTTTTCTCTGTGTGCCTGCAAAGGCCTTAATTGTGATAGGATTATTTTCAGCTACTGTTTCCCGCCGATCCGTTATGTTCAAAAATTTCTTCATTTGGCTTGCTCTTCATGAGAAATGCCAATGCATGTATCTGCCTGTAATCTTCTGCATGGTTACATATCATTTTTCTACAGTTCTAGAATGCAAGCTGCATTTAAAGTGTTGGGAACTGAATTTCTGGGCAGAAAAATATGGGTTTCTTCTTTTTTGTGCATGGATAACTTCAGTGCTTGCAGTGTGACTGTTCAGTTGCTTATTTGTGTAACTAACTTCTGATTCAGAACTTTGAGATGATACTTCAAAGTGATGATGTTCAGATTAGAAATAGAGGGGTTTATTCCATTTCTTTAATGAGGAGTAATAACCAATTATTCAGCTACTAACATGACTTTTGAAAGCTGTGTTTTAAAACACAGTATTTACTACTAAGTAACAGTATTAATAGAGGCTTTGATTCCTGGATGGTAATTCATATGGATGGGAATTTTAATTTTGAATATAAATAATAGTGTATTTTGTATTTCAGGTCAGTGTGGAGAAGTGGAATCTTTACAACTCTTCCAGAGTCCACATCCACAGACCGTCCTGTGTTGCCCAAGAAATTCAGAGGCTCAATGCACTGGAACTTGAAAAGAAAATTGGGAAGTCAGTCCTTGGAAAGGTGAGATTGGTCTGCTGATACTGTTTTATCCAACAAGGAATATCTTGTATTTATTACTTACATAGAGGTCTTGCCCTGTTTGCATTTATTTGTGAAGTTGAAAATAACACATGTATACCTTTCTGTCACTTACCCATGTTGTATAAGGGACATCTGAGTTCAGGAACCCAGGAATTCCATCTGCTTTTGGCCTTGCAACTTCTGGGCTCCTTTGGGAAGAACCCTGCTGTTGTTAATCTGCATTTCCAGAGGCATCACACAGGGAGGACACAGTGGGATGGGTGTGCTGTGCCTGACCCACATACCTTGCATATAGGCAAAGCTGAGCTCCTGAAAACTGGGAGCATGGACTGACTCTTACTGCAGAGTATTCCAGATAATGCAAATGTTAATTAAGGTTGGGGTTATGTATGGCCTTAAACCCACTCCTAAAACAGGATGTAAATCTTGCTGAACATCCTGGGAGACTTAGGTGTTCTCAAACCTTTTGATGTGGGAAGAAACCTGTTTTTTACAGGATCTTTTAGGTTGGAAAAGACCTCTAATATCATCAAGTCCAGCCTCTGATCAATGACCACTTTGTCAACCAGACCATAACACTTAAGTGCCATGTCCAGTTGTTTCTTGAACACCTTCTGGAACTGTGATTCCACTACTTCCCTGGGCAGTCCATTCCAATGTTTAACAGCCCTTCCCATGAAGAAATCTTCTTGATGTCCAACCTGAACCTCCCCTGGTGCAGCTCAAGACTTTGTCCTCTCATCCTGTCACCAGCTGCTTGGGAGAAGTTGCTGATCCCCATCTTGCTGGAACCTCCTTTCAGATAATTGTAGAGAGCACTAAGGTTTCCCCTGAGCCTCCTCTTACTCCAGGACTTAGCTCTAAAACCTGGTAAAGTCTGAGCAGGGCTTTTGAAGGGTCAGATCCCTCATGCTGTGTCAGATTTGAAGGGTCAGATCCCTCATGCTGTGCCAGATTTGAAGGATCAGATCCCTCATGCTGTGCCAGATTTGAAGGATCAGATCCCTCATGCTGTGTCAGATTTGAAGGCTCAGATCCCTCATGCTGTGTCAGATTTGAAGGGTCAGATCCCTCATGCTGTGTCAGATTTGAAGGATCAGATCCCTCATGCTGTGCCAGATTTGAAGGGTCAGATCCCTCATGCTGTGCCAGATTTGAAGGCTCAGATCCCTCATGCTGTACCAGATTTGAAGGCTCAGATCCCTCATGCTGTCTCTCCTGTGCCATTGTGTGCAGGTGCACCTGGCCATGGTTCGCTACCACGAAGGCGGGCGCTTCTGTGGGAAGGAGCAGGAATGGGATCGGGAGTCAGCCCTGTTCCACCTGGAGCACGCTGCAGACTGTGGGGAGCTGGAAGCCATCGTTGGGTTGGGCCTCATGTGCTCTCAGCTGCCACATCACATTCTGTCTGAGGTCACTCTCGAGGTATGGAAGATGCCAAAATGCAGAATTGTTAAAATACCATAAGCATAGCAGGAAATGGAGATGAAACAAAAACCGTAGTTAGGTGTTCTGTAGCCTCTTCAGAGAAAATAAATTACTTTGTAATTAAGGATTTGGACAAAGCAGCAAAAAAAAATGCTGCCTTTTTCTGGTTTTGCCAGCAAATTACTGCATCCCTTTGGGAAGCTTTTGGAGCCACCTCTACAGTTCAGCTTTGTTTCTTGTGGCTGTGCCAATTTCTCAGACATACTAAATACTTGCTGACTTTGAGAAACTGCATTTAATGGTAAAGGGATGGTTTTAGAAGCATGCATTTTAAAGGTTTTGTTTTCTTTACTAGGATACAAAGGAGAACAGAAATAAAGGATTTAATTACTTGCTGAGAGCAGCAGAAGCTGGAGACCGGCCTTCCATGATTCTGGTAGCAAGAGCCTATGATACAGGTGTAAACCTTGGTGCAGACAGGTACTGTGCATGGCTAAGTAGATTAACTTGGTGGTACTTCACTGAGGCAAGGCTGGGGCAATGATTTTTCTGCTTTTGTATTTTAGCATGTCTTTGTTATTTATGTGAGTTTTCTGTTTCACACAACAGTGATACTCTTTAAATTTCCCACTGTCAAATAACACTGTCAAACTTCTAATTGAACTTCACTGAGCATTCTCAGTGTGCAAAATAACTGATTTTAAAGTATTTATGAAAAAAGACTCTGCAACTTGAGGTTTTTTCTAAATTGGTTGCTCTCACAAATGTAAATGCCAAAACCATACAGCTGATAATGAAGCTCAGACTCTGGAGTTCAGGAAAATACTTCAGTCTGATACTTTCTCCTGTAATTCCTGCATAAAGTGACCCCAGCTCCATTTTGCTGTGGTGACCTAATGTCATAGTGCAGTTAGTGAGTCTCCATGAGAACATTTGCTTTCTTGGAGAGCATTAAGGCTCTGAAAAGCCAGTACAAAATTGGATGCTGAATCTCCAATGCCAAGTACATTTGTTTCTTAAGGGAGCCATCATCAGAAATTATTTTTGCCTTCAGGGCCCAGGATTGGAAGGAGGCACTTCACTGGTACAACGCTGCACTGAACATGACCGACTTCGACGAGGGAGGTGAATATGATGGCACTCAGGATGAGCCCCGGTACCTGCTCCTGGCCAGGGAGGCAGAGATGTTAATGATGGGAGGGTTCAACCTGGATAAGGATCCCCAGAGATCAGGTGAGGCCTTGTTTCTGTTAACTGTAGTCTTGCTTTTCCTTCCCTTCTCCCTCAGCATGTACCCCAAAAATAGATTTCTTGCTTCGGCTGTTACAAAACATAGAGAGGTTCAATACCTTCAGATTTAATTGTGCTCAAGGATGATAACAGTGAAAGAAGAGATCTTGGCAGCAGTGGGGCAGTGGGTGGTGCCAGGTCCAATCTGTGGCACACTGAGTCACTGCCAGGCACCTTCACTCCCTCTGAGGTTGCTCTTCTGGGTCACTCCCCTGAGCTGCAGGTTGCTGCTTGTAGTTTGAGCTACACCCATGATTCCCAGGCCCTACACAACATTCTCTTAGTTGCTGTGTAACCTGTAGGAGTCCTGGGGGGCTCCTACAGGCTGGTCCTGTTTGCAGTCCTTCCAGATCCATTGGGGAGCCACCAGCAGCCAGCTGTATAACTTGAAGAGCAGAGCCAGGTTCCCAGCTGCTGTAACTCTGACACTGTTAAAACACACCCCTATATCCGGCCCTGCAGTTTGACCTCCATTTCTCCCTTTGTCCTTTATTTGCTTCAGGCTAAAGCCATATTCCTTCTTTACTCTGTCAACATAACTGATGCTGTTTCCTCTCTAGGTGAGCTTTACACAGAAGCAGCAGAAGCAGCCATGGAAGCCATGAAGGGCAGACTGGCAAATCAGTACTACCAAAAAGCAGAAGAGGCTTGGGCAATGATGGAAGAATGACACTGAAATTCAGCAGTTCTTGTATATAAATTTGTTATAGACTTGCTGCATTTGCAGCTACAAAGATGTATTTTTATGTGATGTTACCAGGTTGGTTTTTTTTCATATTTTAGTTTTATAATTTTTTTTGAGGGTAGAAATCTAAATGTAAGTAGTATGTAGGGTGCCATAGCATACTTCTGTTTGTGTTTTAAAGCTGTAATACACACACACTTGAACCTTTTATACTTTTTTTTACTGTTAGAACTGAGGGGCCTAGTTTTTTTGACCAAAGAAAACAAGGCCTTATTGTTTAGGTTTTACATGTCCTGTTTTTTACACAGCAAATGATCCGTTTGTTTACATTTTTCTTCTCCTCCCCACATACAGAAAAGCATTTTCCTAAATTCTCAGCATTTCTTGATCATTTTTGGTGTATCTCACCTAATTTCCACATGAATGTAAATTTTCAGTTTATGGATGCAGCTACTGATGTTAATAAGTAGTCCCATTCTATTTTGCTGACATTGTTGGACACTTATTCTCAAAAGAATTTCAGATGGAATCCTTATTTTGGGGAATGGTAGAAAAGATGATTCAGATTGGCAGTGAGGATTTTCAGGGTGGAATGTTTTATTCATTACTAACATTGCATATTACACCATTAGAAAATCATTCATGTTCCTGGTGAGGTTCCTACCTCTCTCATTTTCACATTTTGCACCATATAAAGTTTTATTTGTATAAAAGTCTACTGATCTTATATCTGTCCAATAATGTACAGTAGCAAGATTTGTAATATATGGGTAATTTGAAGTTAGTTTTACAGTGGCTTCTCAAATCTCAATGAAGCTAGATCATCTCACTTAAAATGAGAACACGTTTTCCACCATTTCCAGATGGGTGTTTGAAGAGGTTAGGAGATGTTAATTCACCTATTTTTATGTACAGAAAACAATTTATATGGTTTAAGTATATTTTAAATGGTACTTTATCTGCAAATACTATTTAGAGAAGAGTTTTTGGTTAGAAAGGGAAAACAGTATTACCCCCCCAAAACACTTGAATTTATGTCCTCTTTGCATAATCCTAATCAGTGAGGGGAGGACAAATACCTGGTAAGCTTTTGAAGCTTTGGTGGTGGTTGAATTATCATTGCATCGAGATAAGTTTCTTGAAATCCAGTCTTTTATTCCCAAGCTGCTGTGCCATCCGTGTGGATAGTACAGAAGCTGTTCCTGTTCCTTGGTTGTGGTTGACAGTCATTTTGCAGGAGATTTAAGATGGAGGCTCCTGCCTCCTTGGCCTGGCAGTCTCCTGAGGTGTAAATTGATGTGCACAAGGGGCAGCTCCTGGGAAGTGCTGAATGACCTGTAGTGCTCACCACTTCAGCCAGGCAGGTGTAAAGCTAAGCAGGCCATGAGATGATGCAGAATTGATTAGGATTTCTCTCATGCATAGCCAAGGAATATTCATTTCTTGTAAAATTCAGAAGCTGTTCAGGGAACAGAAATCAGTTCTTCCTTTCCTGTGCAAGTGCCTGTCACTGGAATCAAATTATGCTCCCATTTTCTCTTTTTTATGGCAAGTGGATCTTGAATTGCTGTTTAGACATTATCCAAGGGTGATGTCAATAACAACTGCCACTGTCTGAAAGAGGTGAACTCCTGGTGGTTGAAGGAGATTTGAATCCTTTCTAGGAGGGAAGGGAAAGTGACCCTTGGTTATTGTGCTTCTGGCTGGTGCTGTAACCACCAGGCAGCTGTAGCTGTGAGCAGCCTTACAACACATGGCAGCACCTTTTTGCTGTAGATTGCAGAGGTTGTGGGAAAGCAGTGCCCATGGCCTTTTTCTTTTGTTTTGAGAGTGAGGGCAAAGTTCTTCACCCATTAATGGAGGAGTTTCTCATTTCTAGACCTCAGCTGGTCTTAGGTAATGAGGTACTAAAATGACCAGATTTTTGGACCTAATATTTTTTTGTACCTAACATGCTGAAATACAACCAGAGGACTGCAATTCAGATAAATGTTTTCAGTGCCTATCCAAAGTTCTGCTTTAGATGCCTAAAGCCTCTCTGGGATGTGACCTTTTTTGCTATTTCAGTTCATAGCATTAAGGTATCACCTCTGAAGACAGTTGCATGGTCTGTTTTGTGCAGAACCTATATAGTGTGGGAACTATAAATCAGACACAAGTATTTGTTTCCCTCATAAAGTGGTGATGCCAAATCTTTGAGATTTTCCTTGAGGAGGAAGCATGACAACACCACTAACCATGTAGGGAGGAGATTGAAAGTGTCCAAAATGTGCATGCAAAGGATGTAGAGTGTAATTATTGACACTTTTTGGTGTAGTTTGATTTGCTAAATTCAGTAGTAGTTGCTAAAGTAATTTGCTAAATTCAGTAGTTGCTGACACCTCTGTGTAGATCTGGTATATAAATGTGCACACAACTCAGTGCAACATTAATTAATGTTTTATTTGCAAATACTAATTTGGGTGATGAAGACTACCTTGTGTCCTAAGGTGTATCAGATGACTTAGCATACAATAAATGGGACTGTCAATAATATGAAAATGGAAATTGTTTACAGAAATATTCACAACTTATTCTGTGACATTCTTTTGAAGGGAAAAACTGTATATTTTAAAGAGTTTTGCAATGATATTGCTTTATGCTGTATTTTTAATCTATTCACAATGAATAAATAAAAATCTGTATTTTTTAAAAATGTGAAAATAAATCTGAGGCTCAGCCTGCCAGAACTTACCTGGGCTCAGTGTTTCCAGATGTCAGTGGGAATATTTCTTGAGTAAGGACAGTGAGATGGAAGACTTTGTATGTCAGACAAGCAAATACTGCTTGCCTGCATCACTTAGTCTTCTCATTCACTTTGTCTGGGTTCATTCTGGCTAGTAAATAAAATTGTTCTTTTTGTCACTTTTCTCAGTAGAGTTTTACTCATTGCTTGTGGGCATTTGCTTTTATTTGTTTGGTTTTTTCTTTATAAATTGCCAAAATTCAACCCTACTATTGCAAGCTTCCAGAAATCCTCTTTGTTTTTTGCTTTATTCCATTCCCAATTTCATTCCCTTTCAACAGTCAGAAGTAACTAACTGGGAGGAAATTATTAGATGTGTAACAACAAAATCTGTTTTCCTCGAGAAAACAAAATGGTTTATGTGCTCTCTGATTTGCATTTGATTACACATGTAGTGTCTGTAATGGAGGATAAAATGTAAGGACAGGAAGGCTCATTTGCAGGGTGCTACAGAGGCCTCCCTGTGCCTTTAGCATTTGTTTAGTCCTGAGAATGGGCTGGAAATTCCTGAGCTCTGTGATTTGAGGTGGTAAATAAATCATAGCAAAATGACAGTGTATCATTAGATGTTGTATCCCACCTTAAATCTAATGATACACTGTCATTTTGCTATGATTTATTTCCCTTGTTGTGCCAGAATAATCTGTTTGATACAGGCCCTTTGAAACTGTTCAAAAGGGAGCTTTTAATGTTGCCTTTTTATTGCTTTATTCAGACAGGTGGAACTTCTTATACCTGTGTAGTTTGAACAATGTGAAATTATCCTCTAGCAAGGGCACTGTGAAATAGCAGAAATTCCTAACAAAAAAGCACCATGTGGGCCTCTGCACTGTAGAATCAGTAAGGTGAAAAATGGTGAAATTTGGCTCTGCTCTAGCTTTATAGCCTTTGGAGGGTTTAGATATAGCTGCTGTCACAGAGATGGAGTGTTTGCCAGTGGAACAAAGTAAGAATAGCCTTCTTTAGAAACCATGGAGACAGCAAACTCTTATAGCTTATAAAGTGTAAATAAGTATATTGCCTGCTTCTTAATTACTGGTCTGTGGGACTGATTTGAATCTCATTCTCTTCCCCACAGATGTAATTTCACTCAGAGTAGAATGAGTGCTGACAGAGCCAGTGTAGTTACCATGGGTCAAGTCAGGACTTCTCATCTGAATTTGGACAGGCAGAATTTCATTTGAACCTCTCAGGATGGATGCAGGGCAGTGCTGCCAGGGGTGAGTCAGGGTATTTTCAGGTTGAAGTTCAGGGATATCTCTCAGTTGCTCCTGCTGATAGACCTAACTCCTGTGTGGGGACAGCTCAGGGCTTTGTAGCCATTGGGCCTGGCCCTTAGAGTGGGAGTATTTGTTGGGTCCTTGCTATTCTCTGGCAATCTTGTGCAAGGAAAACAATTTAATATGTCTGGTAGCTTGTGTTATGTTGGAGTTCTCCTATATGGTAATTCTTTTTTCAATTTGGAGAAGGTCCTGCCATTGCAACTGATGTTGCACAGGTGAAATGAAAAACTGGTGACCCAACTGCCACCCCCAAGGAACAGCCTGTGCTCTTGCCCCTGTCTGTGTCACACATGGCTGAGGTGAATAATCTCAGGTGCACAGGCTTCCTTTGGTGCTCAGGAGAAATGTCTCTGTGGCCAGGCACACAAACATTTCAGGGAGAGAGCATGAGCTCAGCTGTGACAGGGCTGAAAAGCAATTTTCAGGAGGGTGTTGGTACCTTGCACTGCCTGGACAAAAGGACCTGTGGGAGTGAGCGGCCCACTCAGTGAGGAACAGTTTGTAATGAGTGCTCCATGCAGCCTCCTGCACAAACATATGTTTGGAGGCTGTTAAAGCTGCCTTTTCTGCCTGAGCAGGTTACAGGTGATTTGCTGTGTGAAGCCAATTCAGGTCTGCCTTCCTTCTCTCCTCCCTGAACCTCTCCTGATGCTCTGCAGTCAGCTCCCTCTGTTCTTAAAAAACCCCACATCCTGAAAAGGCACCGAGCTGAGGGTGTGAAACTGTAGCAGCACTAGAGGAATTTATTCATGTTTACATGTGTGTGCTGTTATTCCTCAGTACTTGTAGGCAGTGAATGAAATTTTTAGCAAGACTGTGCAGTGCTGCAGCCTCTCACAATGAGAGAACTCGAATGCTGGCACAGGTTGCCCTGAGAGGTGGTGGATGCCTTATCCCTGTAAACATTCAAGGTCAGGTTGGAAAGGGCTCTCAGCTACCTGATCTGGTTGAATATGTCGCAGGGAGTCCGACTATCAGACCTTTTTTGGACACTTCCAACCCCAACCAAACCATTCCTTGGTTCCATTTCAGCAGCTCTCTGGAAAGAGAGCTGGCACCGCCGGGTGCTGCAGGGACAGGCTGTGGGAGGTGCCAGGGGAAAGGGTTGAATGATGCTGTCAGCACGGCTCCAGCAGGTTTATTTTCTTTATCCTATTTACATGAACTGCCACAAGGACAGAATTAAATCAAGCTGCATTAAGGCTATGTGACCTTACACTAGAGAAGCTAGAATTTTTCTCAAAATACAACCTTTCAGTTGTAGTTAAGTGGTGAAAATAACATTAATTCTTTAAGAAAACTCACCAGACTTTCAGGCAAAATGCAGCCAGAGACTCCCAGAAGCAGTTTCATGGAGTACCAGCAGCTGAGGTGTGCTACCACCAGTGTGCACAAGGGTACCGAGTACTGCCGTGGGGGTCCCTATGCTAGAGGCAAAAGAACAGCCCCCCAGGCATAAACTGCTGACTTTTGACTTCGCAAATTCAGTAAGCTGCGGCTTTGCAACAGAAAATTAGAATTTAGAACTTTTGTTAGGCTTTCAGAGGGGGTGGCCGGGCGGTGCCACACGTACCGCGCAGGGGC